ACGAATTGAATACCTCCTTCTTTTGGGAAGTCGGTCAAAAATAGATATTTAAAATATGGTGCAATATCGTCAATTACAAATAAAAGGTTGTAGTTTTGTATGGCTTTATGCATTATTTTATGTAACCCTAAATAAATTGTCACAGTTTTTAATGCTTTTTAGTTTGGTACTTCTCAAGCTATATTTGTCCATACATTCTTATTAAATTTACTTGTTATGGGGAATATTGTTTCTTTTATGTCAAATTAAATTCACATACTTGAATAATGCATTTTTATTTAAACCCTTTTGGTATTTTAGATCGCATACTATTTTGTATTAAAATTATTAATTAATACTACTGTGTTATGTTTTTTTATTCACGAAATATATTATGAATTACACTTTTTATATGTTAGCTTTTTAACTATTTTTGATGTATTCTGTATTCTTAGAAGTTATTTGTGAATCTGTGCTATTTATCAATACATTTGTCTTTATTTAAAACAACAATCTTGTTAGGAAAGTATTAGGAAACGGAAGGAATAGTGGTAGTTTTATAAAACATATGGCAAGGAGTGGCAGAGCTCAGTCGCAGTCTCGGCGCTCAGTCGCCAACAAGCTCAGTGTTTTATTAGTCGTCACAATGGAACGTTCGATATATTTGCATTGTCGCATTGGAGTTCAGTTTGTGTTGTTTAAAGTAGTTTAAAGTTTAAAGTTGTTTAATGTAATTTACAAGTATTGTTAATATGGCTGTCCATCTATATTTTAAAGGAAGTCATTTGTTGTAATATCTGACATATAGTTAATTAATTCAATGCTTTAGTTTTATTACAATTAGGGTAAAACAGAAAACTGGCTTGGAACAGGTTGTAGTGACTAGAATAGCTGCAATAGGCAATATGCATATGACACCAAATTATACCAGACTTTTTTTAAGTACAATATATATATAAAAATCCAGAGTTAAAGTTTTTATTAAAATATTTTACTAATCTGGTGTCAGTTGACATAAAACAAAGGAAAGTATACACTGGATCAGGCGACCATCCCGGGAACTAGCCACAATGGCTAGTTGCGAATCAAACCTTGCTATCAATCCCCTCTCTGCGAAGTGCTAAAAAAGGGGGCTTCCTAGAAATCATATCTAGGATGCTAAAGCAAAACCACACTTTTAGGCTCAAAAATATATGTAACAGTTAAACATTACAGGATGTATGTGATTTTAAATGAACATTCAAACCATACCTTGTTTGGTATGATTTGACACACAAGTGACAATGAAAGTTTTTAACACCAGTATGTGTTAATGAATGTCGTTGTAATTCTGATTTAGAAAAGAACCTTTTCCCGCAACTTTCACATGCATATTTCTTTTCTTTTAGATGGCTTTTACGGATATGAGAACTCCGAGAGCTTGATGATATAAATGTAGCATTGCAGACTTCACATTTATGATTTCTTACTCTCTTATGATTCCATAAAACATGGGAATGTAGACCTCCGGGGACTTTGAACCTTTTTGGACAGTATTTACAACTGTACGGACGATCATTGCTATGAGTTAACATATGTATTCTAATGTAACTTGGTGGATAAGATTTGCCGCATTGGTCACACTGTCTAAGGTTCTTATCAGATTTATTCTTATCTTTACTGACATTAGGTTGGCAGAAATGAGTTTGAAAATCTTCAATATTATAGAATCCTTCCCAGCAATTTTCACATAAATATGGTTTTAAATGTAATTTTCTATGTAGAACTAAGGAACGGAAATCATCAAATTTTTCATTACAGTATTCACATTCTCTGCCTATGACATTTTTTACGGGATGATTTTTTAAACAGTGTTCATTTAAAAGTTTCGCTGAATTGAACATTTCTTTACAATAGACACAATACAGATTTAAATCACATTCAGGATTCACCAAATCCTTTATATTTCGCACTTTTATTTTATTTATATGATTTTGTACATCATAACGGTCATCCGGTTCTATACCACATTCATGATCATTTGTTGAATTTAAAACATTGCTTTCGGCCAATGTTTTCGCACTTGATTCTATTAGAATTTTGAATGAGTATGTTAAAACAAGTTGGTGAACGCAATTTATACATATATTCTCTGGCAAAGGATCTTCAGACACCTGTAACAAATACCTTTCAATAATATTTATAAATTTCAGTTATTTTAAAGCAGTTTTTTTATAATCACCTTGTAACTATAAAAATTTAATAATATGTCTGACAATGAAACGTTTTCGCCAGATATGGAAATTTTTGTATGTATGTGCCTCATCTCTTTGGCATTGCCTAAACACGTACGGCAGCGATTCATGGTGGATTAATTATT